TTGGTGCAATCTATTAATTGTTGAAGCATGATCATCTTTGACAACGAATATACTATTAAATAAACAAGTCATACTTGTAAAAACCTTGTAATTGGTGTTCGTACGTTGTCGTTGAAGATGCTGACTAGATTACGATATTTTTATAAGATGAACCACCCCAAATTTCTGGCCTTAGAGATACATATCGATGATAATGTGAGTTGACACCCCCTATCGTAATTTGGTTGGCCTAAGTCAATTTACATCTCTTTTAGACAAAAAAAGTAGTGTTATTAAAATGGTTCGATTCGTTGTTATTATACTATCTCCATTTTCATCCTGTTTTCTTATCTCTTTTGTCGCGATAAGAACACAAAGGACAGAACATGAATATAATATTATAATACTCACAATGTTATTTTCAATTAAACAGTTGAGTGTTATACCTATGTCGATAACTTTTGTTTTCTTTCCAATTAAAGTTTATGTTTCAGTAATTGGTATTGTACTTTATATATTATTTGGGTACAGTGTTATAGTGCTGGTTAAACTGTGATAGTGCATATTGTGTCCATTTTTGAGCGATGAGAAGAATCCCTTTTACTTTAGTTGCTTCTTCTTGGAATCGTTTTTTGTGTCATGATTTGCAAATAAGATCTTATTGTCACATAAGTTGGAACCAAGTTATATAGCGTAAAAGATCTAAAGTTATACACCGACAGCTTCGCGATACTAAAGTTGATATTAAAGTGCACTTTCTTTGTGCATGGTAAAGTTGGATTATTGTTTAATTATTTAAACAAGAGATATTGGGTTCCAAAGTTCAAGTGGCCTTTAACTCAGAATTTTAAGGATTTTATCTTTTTTTAATTTAGGCAAGACAACAAATATGATAACATAAAAGGAAAGGAAAACGTAAATCTAAGTTATTTCATTATGTACATTTACATCTAAAACTCACACAAACGCATACAAGATGAATAATATTAATGATAATAATAATAATAATTTATTATTATTATTATTATTGTTATAATGGATAATGATATGAATTATATATAGTAACCTTTATAATAGAAAAAAAGAAAAAAATTGTTAAATAGTGATATTGATTATAATTGTTAAAAAATGGAATTCAAACAAATAAAATTTATTACAATGAAAAATTGAACCGATATTTTATTTGTTTTTTAAAATTAAAATGGTCGTTGTATGGTATAATAAATTTATGAGATTATGTTTTACAATAAATTAGATAAATTTTTTATTATATGAATATCTATTTTTATTGTTGATACGATTGAAATTGTTGATAATGGAAGGAGTGTCATAATTTATCATGACATGGCTGTGAGAGAAGTCACTGACAGGCGTAATACGATTGGTGGGGCAGATAAAATCGAAACGAGATTCTTACGAAGGAAGACATGACTAAGTGCGGTGTGAAGTCTAATCAATTTGGGTTTGTACGCGCGCGTGTACAAAGGCTCCCAACTGAAAATTGTAGCGTCCGTTGTCCATAACCACAACTGCCACTATTTATTTAGCACCAAAACCGGTTTAAAAAAATAAACAAATTATTTTTAAATCATCCTATAATATTTTTATTCAAAAATAACAAAGAATTGAACATAATGATATTTCTATCTCGTCTTCAATATTCAACATGAATCGTTGAAAACTCTTATAATAATATAATAGCTAAAGATTTTATTGATTAAATCCGTGAAAAATAAGGGCAGCCGATAGAACGGAAACGACAAAGCAGGGCAAGTTCGTAATTTAACTAATCTCCGCATATATCTTCTATTGTCCACACCCACAACTACCACTGTTTAGCACCAAAACCAGTTAAAAGAATATTTTGAAATCTTTCCATAATAGTTTTATTCAAAAAATAATAAAATTATGTATACTAAATATATTTATGTTGTGTTCAATACTGAATAATAAATCGTTGAAAACTCTTATTATAATATAATAGCTAAAGATTTTATTGATTAAATCCTTGGAAAAAAAAACGCAGCCATGGAACGGAAAGGACAAAGCAGGGCAAGTTGGTAGTTCAATCCATCTTGGCATATAAATCCAAAGTCGAAAACAAACACTGTGGCATGAATGAATAAATGAACATCACAGAATCAGAGTCCGGAGTTCACGCGCGCATCACGTGAAGAACGGACCCAACGGGAAAACATTGGCCCCATAATTCTATTGTCGTTAACAGAGTGAGTTTCTATTATTGGATGCTCAATCATAATTAATTGACACAACCTTTTTCACCATTCAACTTTTATATTTTCCTTCACTGAATAATGAAATTGGTACAAGAATAAGTTCATCCCTTTTTGACTTCTTTTATAAACTTCTCCCATCTCTTTTTAAGGAAAGAAATACATGATTCATCATTGTTATCATACTTCCCTGCCACAACCACACCACAATTTGCGCCAAAAACTGCAACCTAAATTTTAATCTTGTTTTTAATGTTAATGAATAAATAAAAAGTTTTACTAATACAATTAAAGTATACAAATTAAGTTTATTTATTGAAATTAATTATCCACCTTATCTATATTAGTCCTTGTTGATCTTGAAGACAGTAAATTCTGACTGCAAAAATGGTACTGCTATCTCAATTTCATCATGGTGTTTCATCTGACTTCCGTTTCAGCATAAAAGTAAACACCAATTCTCCCCGAATCCCTCGACAAAACGCCATTGTACGTGCTTTTGGAGACCATTTATAAACTCCTTCCGACAAAGAAAACACTTATGAAACGTGAAGATTTTCATTACCATCTTCTGAAAAAATATTTAAAATGTTAAAAATTACACTCTAGCATGGAACTAAAGACATTATTGATTAACATATGCACAGTAAATGCGCCTATATATCAGTTTCTCTTTGGCTCCATGAGTTTGCTCAAATCCTCTTCATGTTCAGCTTATTTTCCGGTTCCAATCACTATTTTTTACGAGAAACCACTTGTAGTGTCGCATGCTTACCCATACACATACCATTGTATATATCTCATATTTAAAAAAATATTTTATTTTCGTAGTTAATCCCCTTATCATGCATAAAACCATAAAATTAATCCTCATTTAAGAGTGAAACAATTATCATCACCATTGTCGTAGTCATGTTTATTATCTGTTAAAAAATTGAAAAATGAGAAGCTTAGTATTCATGAATACTGATGCTAATGAGCAATAGTTGTTTTGTTGTAATATAGACCTGATGGCCCTGGAGTTCAACTCATCATTCGACAGAGGAATTTTCTTAATGCCTATTAATAGACCTATTAATGGCACGCGTGTAAAGAATCTATAATGCAAAACTTGCTGTCAAAACCAGCAAATTGCCCAGTATTCAAGATGCGAAGCTTTGTAGAATAAGTCTGTATCTTTGAATTTTTTTTTTTTGTCAGCAGATATTTTAAAATTAAAAAGAGAGAGAGTATAATCTAGTACGCTATTACATAAATTGAAAAAAAAGAAAAATTCTTATAAAAGAGCTAGAATTAGTTTAACTTTAAACAGGGTATCGATAAATTAATATGGATTTTTAAGAAAATTTTTAGGGTGAGGAGATGAGAAGAAGAACATATTTTGTGGTTGTGAAAGGAATTGAATCGATTCGTGGGAGGAAAGGTGGAATGGAAAGAAAAGAAAATAGAATAGAATAGAATAGGGAAAGATGGAAAGTTCCTACGTGGCGTGGTCCAGTGAAGAAGAAAATGGGTGAGTGGTGGTAAGTACTGAATAATGGAAAATGAAAAGGAAGGAGTTCAAATGATTGTGATGAGGAAGGTGTTGGTGCGTGAAGGGACAAAAGAGGGCGACACCCACGAATTTGTCCGAGAAGTGGGGCCAGCTGTGGAGGTGGAAGCGGTGGTTGGAGCACGTGTGATGGAGGAAGCCATGTTGGTCCACGTGAGTTGGGGCAGCTCAGGTTTTTGTTCCACACCTTCCTTCATTTTCGTAGACCCTCTTTCCCACGTGAACTCGACTCATCCCTGTCCCCCCTTCTAAATAATCACATCCATCACATGATACATTGCAACTGCATAACATAATGAAAGTAATAATAGGAATCGGGACCCACTCAGGGACATGGTAAATAATCAAAACCTTATTATCAATTTCCTTCTAATCATGGCCATCTGCTGTGTTTCTTGATTTCGACAACAGGTGATGGCGGTAAAGCGTAAAACAAAGGGCGACGATGGGGTCCCTACCGTCGACGTTTGACCTCAGCCGTTGATGTAGGGGAACTTCCATTTCATTCAGGTGCAACCTGCCCCACCTCGTTAAATGCTCAATAATATTTCTGATTAGACAGACATCAGAATGGAACAAATCCACTGCCTTTCATTGTGTTTTCTTGCTGGATTCACTCCTCAAGGAATAATAATACCTTTACCGTCTATTTTTCTCCCAGACACCTCTCTTTCTTCTTCATTCTCATCCTCTAAACTTCAACGCTTTCTCCTAACATTCAAATTTCAATTAACTGTGTTCCCACTTTCAAACTCGCATCAACGTACTCAGCGTCAACCCTACCTATAATGCCTTTTTACTATTACTACACTCGATGTCAAATATTCATTTTTATAACTTCGATATTCTAAATTCGAACAACTTGCCTAAGCTGTCAAAAGTCAGAACTAAACCTTAAATTTGTTTTTTCAATTTCTGTTCCCATTTTACCACTGTTTTCTTTCTTAATAGTATTTAACATAGCTGATCAGGATTTAAGTTTCATCAGATTTTTATAATGAAAACAGATATAAATAGTATTTTAGTGTGGGAGATGTTTTCTTTTTTTGTTTGATAGTTGAAATACTTTGTACCTTTCAACAGTATTTCGTAAAATATAGAGCAGGCTGGGTTATACACGTTTAGATTATGGTGATGATAATAATATAAAAAGGAAGTGTTTATGTGGAACAGTAGCATCTATATTTGAAGTGCATGAAAGGTTGTGTGTAGGAAATGGTGAAAAGGCAAAGAAAGAGGTTAGAAATGGAGGTGGGAAATAATAAGGAGAGAGAATGGAAGTTGTATTATTTGTGGGGCAAAAGCCATGATTCAGATAATTGGAGCTTCCTGACATAAAGTCATGATTGAACTCTCCACTCCCACCCATTTTCCCTCCTTTCTATATAATCCCTCCACACACATCTCTTCTCCACTTCATACTCACCCATTAACTCTCTCACAATACCTCATTCATTTCACCCAATCTCTCACCAAAATCCAATTATCTTCTCTCACAAGGCTTATCACGTTATTTGAGATGACGGCTGAAAAGGAGGATTTGGGTTTGAGTCTAAGCTTGAGCTTCCCTCACAACGCTCCAACTCCTCTTCATCTCATTCTTCTCTCCACTACTTCAACTTATTCTTCTTCTCCTTCAAGCCACAACCTTCACAAACCCTCTTGGAACGACCCTTTCGCTTCTTCAGGTGCGTATCATCCCATTCCCCAACCTTCGGTTCTCTGTCCCGTGTTTGTTTCCAGATCTGCTCCAATTTCCTCACACTTTTCCTTTTCTCTTTTACTTTAACCACGTAGTTTGCTTCTTTCTCAAAGAACAAAACACCTTAGCCCTATACTTTCTGACTTTTCTCCTTTTACATTTTCCACAACTTTTACTATTCTGCACTCCTTTTCACTTCTTTCCATGCTCGTTCAAAGCTTCCTAATTTTCCAAAACATCTCAACTTTCTTCTTTATCGATTTCTGTTTTTCCTAAACGGTGTTTCTTTTGGCATGCAGGTGAAGCTGGATCGTTCCTCCGCGGAATCGATGTGAACCGGTTACCTTCTGCGGTTGATTGCGAAGAGGAAGCGGGTGTCTCGTCTCCAAACAGCACGGTTTCCAGCGTGAGCGAAAAGCGTAGCGAGAGGGAAGCCAATGGGGAAGAAGAGCACGACACAGACAGAGGTTGTTTCAGAGGCATCAGCGACGAAGAAGAAGGTGAAAATTGTAGAAAGAAACTTAGACTCTCCAAAGACCAATCCATTATTCTGGAAGAGAGTTTCAAAGAACACAGCACTCTTAACCCGGTAAGTGACAAGGTTCCGATCAATTTCGTACATGCTATGTCCAATGTGTATGTTTGGTTTGTTTTTGTTTTTGTTTTTGTTTTTCTCTCTAACGTGAGTGCGTGTGTTGCGTGCAGAAACAAAAGTTGGCACTGGCGAAACAGTTGGGTCTTCGAGCAAGACAAGTGGAGGTGTGGTTCCAGAACAGAAGGGCAAGGTGGGTTCATTTCATTAATATTTGTTCGTGTTTTAGTTTGTGTTGTTGTGTGGTCTTTTTCACGACAAAAAATAAAGTAAATTAAATCGAAAACTAATTTCAGGACGAAGCTGAAACAAACGGAGGTGGACTGCGAGTTTTTGAAGAGGTGCTGCGAGAATCTGACGGAGGAGAACAGAAGGTTGCAGAAGGAAGTGCAAGAGCTCAGAGCATTGAAACTTTCCCCACAGTTTTACATGCACATGACTCCACCCACCACTCTCACCATGTGTCCCTCTTGTGAGCGTGTCGCTGTTCCCCCTTCCGCTGCCGTTGATACCGCCGCGCGTCACCGTCACGTGCCCCAGACCCACTCTCGGGCCTTCCCCATTGGCCCATGGGCCACCTCTGCCGCTCCTATTTCACACAGGCCCTTCGATGCGCTCCGTCCCAGATCTTGACTCGCGGAAAGAAAACGACAAAATTAAAAAAAAAAAAAAAGTGGGGGAAACGGTTGCAATAGTATCGGAGCCATGAATTCTGCGTTCAAAGTGTGGTCTAAGATATGGTGGTTAGGAAAACTGATTTTGTGGGTCTCAAATGTTTTGTACCAGTTTGACCCTTCGTCTTTTCTTCTGGGTTTCGGGAGCATGACCTGGTCTAGCTAGTTTAGTTAGGTTTTTTTAGTCTCTAATACTTACTGCGTTAAAAAAAAAACTCTCGGAGGAGACTTTGTTGTAAAGTTCAATGGTCTTGATTAATTAATTAATTAATTAATTATATGTAATATAGCTTTGTTTTTGTGTAAGCAGATTTTGTTCTCGTATAAAGTCAAAATTTTTGCATGTTGAAAAGATCCTGAATTGATTTGGATGATGCTGGAAATAGTGGGGCTAACTACGTGTTTTCGGTACGAATTTGACAAAATAAAATGGGAATTAGACCTTTAAAAGGAGTTTGCCCTGAATGACCAGACAATGGTTCAAGAAATTTTGGTGAATATGGGTCCCAATTCAATTTCAAAGTTCTACATGCTTGTTTTATTAAAATTTCCTTCTCTCTCCCTCGTAGGCCTATCAGGCTATTGTCTGGTTAAATTGGTTAATAAAAATGTCTTGTAAGGTGTGGTTCCCAACATTTACTCCATCATGTTCATCTCGACTCGTTAAATCTAAATACTTTCTCGTAAAAGCTAATGTTTCGGTAAGAACTCTTGCTCGCATAAACAACTATGACCAAATCATCTTCACAACTACAACAAGAAATCAAAATTTCTGACACTTGTTATGCTCTGATGTTTCGGTGTTGCGTGACTGTATTTTAATATTCGGTTAAATATATGAATTCGTTTTATTTTAAATTTTGATATATTTTTATCTTTAATTTTAAAGGAATAATGAATAGATATGATCATTTAAATTAGAATATATTAAAGATATAAATAACTTAAACATTATTAATATTAATTTGTAACCTTTTCAAACTTAAAATAAGTATGGATTTATGTTTCAAACTAATTTAAAGTAAATTGAGAACTAAGGTAATGTTTTACTATTGGGGTGGAATTATGAAAGTCCTTAAATCTTACATGAAAAATAATATGGATCTAAAATAGGTGTCCAATGTTTTAAGGTTGTTTCTCTTTGCACATCCACCTTATATTCTCCTGCACCTCCACATCTCAAAAGTAGTATCGATTACGTTTTTTATTTCAAAAATAGTTTTACATATTTTTTAACGGATTTTAAAATTGATGAATAATTTTTTCTTCGTTAAAATTTTAAATAATTTTAATAAATTTTAAAATTTGTTGAAAAAAATAAATTTTAAAAATCATTAGAAGAAAATCTTTCAACAAATTTTGAAATCTATGGAAAGATTTTTCAAATGCTTCAATGAATTTTAAAATTTGTTGAAAAAAAATTCAAAATATATTGAAATACAAAAGGATTTGAATTACACAAGGTGATTTTGAAATTTTAAAATATTTGAAAATACATAAAGAAAAGGATGGAGGTCTGGAATTTTAAAAAATATGGACACACCGAGAAAGAAGAGAGTTGCTTCCTCCACCACCCCAAATGCTTCCTACACCTCTCTATTACTGTTTTTATTCCAAAAATATCCTATTTTAATTTAATTTTTATCCTTTAATTTTATTTACTTTTTTTTAAAATGGACATGGACATCCGTTTTGTACATTTGAAACAATGAAATGCAAGAAGCAATGTTTCACATAATTATATAAATATAACCCATTATCGGTACCCTACCTACTACCACTTTGCTTTCCTTGCATTCTACCCTGGGTCCTTAAGGAATATAACAACTTTGTTTCTTCTGAGTCTTGCTCAATCATTCTTTTTCCGTAATTTCTTCTAAAGGCATATGATGAATTGAGTTCAAGACAATTTCTTCAAATATACATTCAATACACTAGAGGTTCTGTAGAGAAATGGAAAATCCTTTTTGCTTTATACCATACAGGTTAAGTCATGTTGTAATAAACTAAACCTCAGTTTATTTCTGACTGTAACATTGGGAAGAAAACCCTGCTGTTAGCTGATCTACCTTCCTCCCGGCAACCCTTATGTTAGTCCACCACTCAGAGCCACTACCACCAGTACCCGAAACAACTCCTTTACTGGTGTCAAAATTGAATTCTTTATAACAATTTACAGAAATCTGCTTATGGAAACATTGTTCTCCTTCTCCAACACGGTATGACTTGTTATCTATTTTTCTCTATACACACATTACAACTAGTATCGGTGTCCCTTTGCACCCTTTCTCAGTCAACAGGGTCTTTTCCCAGTATACACTGATAGGACTCTGGTATATTTCAAAGCAATACCCCAAGTTTATTAGCAAGACACCGAGCAACGTTTTCTCCAATTAANGCTGATCTACCTTCCTCCCGGCAACCCTTATGTTAGTCCACCACTCAGAGCCACTACCACCAGTACCCGAAACAACTCCTTTACTGGTGTCAAAATTGAATTCTTTATAACAATTTACAGAAATCTGCTTATGGAAACATTGTTCTCCTTCTCCAACACGGTATGACTTGTTATCTATTTTTCTCTATACACACATTACAACTAGTATCGGTGTCCCTTTGCACCCTTTCTCAGTCAACAGGGTCTTTTCCCAGTATACACTGATAGGACTCTGGTATATTTCAAAGCAATACCCCAAGTTTATTAGCAAGACACCGAGCAACGTTTTCTCCAATTAATTCAAATGAAAACTCTGTGATCAACCAATGTTGCATTACTTGGATGTCCACTGTTTGAGTTAGCAAGAGTTGCTACCTTAGAAATCTGATTTTCCACATAGATGTTTTGATTGGTTGATTCAGCACCATCGGGTGTCAAGCAGCCATAACCTAACCTGGATTCATGCCCCATACCATCAGGTGCCCCACATCCGTTGAACGTGGAAGGATGTCCGACATCCGTTGAAGGTCAAACGAATATCCCACATCCGTTTTGGCCTTCACGGGCTCTATTGAGGCGATCACCAATAGAACCAGCAGAATCGACTCCTTACACCAGGGATCATAAGTAATGGAAGCAATGAAACCCAGAAGGAAAATAGGGAAGAGACAAATGAAGGGAAGAAAACAAAGGAAAAAGGGATGAGAGGAAGTGAAACAGAAATAAGGGAAGAGAGAATCCGTGAGAGATGAGGTGTAGTTGTGAGTAAATAGTAGAAGTAGGGTTTTCAAATTTATTAAAAAATCATAAATGGTAAAAGTAAAAAAGTTTTAACCTAAGGATAGAATTGAAATTAAAAGAATTTGGGGAAGTGTAGGAAGTAGGGTGTGGTGGTGGAGGGAGCAACACTCGGAAAGAAATGGACGTAGGTGCAAGGAAATACAAACCATGTTTTAATATATATGAGCCCAAAGAAAATTAATATGGACCTAAAAAGAATAAACAGGATAGCTGCTCCCTACACCACCACAGACTACTTCCTCCACTCCTCCTCTCTCATTCCTCATTTGCCCTTCAGTAATATTTATTTACCGGGATTAATTTTCACCAACATTCCAATACACCCCCACACCCCACCCCACATCTGTCAATGAATGTCTAGATCCATTCAACTTTCCCACTATTAACATTCATCCTACTTACTCTTTCCACTACAAAAGCACACGTAAGTCAAGGTCTTCTCTTTATCTAACATATGGCCCCACATAAGGAACACACCTAGTAATTCACAAATTTAATTACTACAAACACACTGTGTATGTACAACACAATATAACTCGTTAGTGTTTAAATTCTCAACAATTCAATTAATGCATTCTTATATTTGCTTTCATCCCTTAAGCATATTTCAACCCCTTCAACGAGAATGAGACAAAGATAGAGTGGGGGTGGGCTGCAGAGAAATAACGAAAGGGAGAGAAAGAAAAAAAGGGAGAGTAGCGGGTGGGTAAGAGTGAAAGAGAGAAAGTGAAAGAAAGAAAGTGAAAGAAAGAAAGAGAAAGTGTGTGAGGTGGGGCAGAGAAAGAGAGAAATAAGAAATAAGAAAGAAAGGGAGGAGAGATGTGAGAGTATTGCTGCTGAGTAAAGTGAAAATGAGAAATAAGAAAGGAATTAGGGTTTTAACATCAAGTTAAAAAGGTAAATAATGAATATAAAAAAATAATAATTTTGGAATAAAAAAAAATTGAAGAGATGAAAGGAGCATGGGTGTTGCTCCCTCCACCACCACACCTTTCTCTCTCTACCTCCCCAATTTATTTTAATTCCAATTATATCCTCAGATTAAAATTTTTTACTTTTACTATTTTAATTTATTTCAAACCTAGTTCTCCTACTCCTACTTTACTCCTGTACCCAACCTTTCCATCTCTCATTTTTGTTTAATAATTTGTCTTTCGTTTTACTCTGCAACCCAATCTGTCTTCTCCATTTCACTTCTCCTCCTCCGTTTCTTTCTACTTCATTTTCCTTACCTTATTTAAATACATTAAAAATATATTCAAAATAATAAATCAAACATTTAAATTATTAAAATATTTCCAAAATAAAGAATAAACTAATAAAAGAAACCCTAAAATAAAAAACGTATCTTTTAAACGGAGGTGACATCCTTCAACGGATGTCGACATCCGTTTTACCTTAAACGGATTTTGACATCCGTTGAAGGATGTCTTAAAGGTTACGTTCTTTATTTTAGAGTTTTATTTGAAAGTTTATTTAAATACGCACCTTGAGGAAGCAAACCACTCCACACACTGCACTACGAGATCGACACTGCACCACCAGAGGGAGACTGCTTGATAATTCTTGTCCACCACCACGAACCTTTGCAACTTGTAAAAGAAAGAGAGGAAGAAATATAATGTTTAAAATGAAAGAAAAATATTTTTACTCATAGTGGAATAGGTTGTGAATGAGTAAAATTAAAAAATAACCTCCAAAATAAAATTTAACTTAGGAACAAATAGTAAATAGTGGAAGTGGAGAGAGAAAGATGTGGTGGTGGAGGGAGCAACCCCAAGGAACATTAGGGTTGTATAGGGAGCAACTCTAAAGAATGGGTGTTGCTCCCTCCACCTCCACAGCATTCTCCCTCCACCTCCCCAATTATCTTTAATTTTTCCAATTATATCCTTAAAGTTAAAAATTTTTTATTTTTAATTATTTAATATTTTAATATTTAAATATAACCTAATATAAATAATACATTATTAAAACCATTAAAAAGATATTCAAAATAATAAATCAAAATATTTAAAATATCTAATAAAATAATAACAGAAACATAAAATTAAAACAAAGCTTTATA